ATTTATTTATAAAAGGCAAGTTCCTCAACCAGTGACAAAAAGAACCTATTGGGTACTCTATAGTCCCAGAATTGTCTAGTGTATATTTTAGCATATGGTTATCAGTTAATACTTGATTTACTAAGATGATAGAGTATTTTATAGTTAGGATTTGCGTAGCAACAGATTGTATTTGTTGTAAAACTGCATCATGGGATGTGTATAATAATGAATGAGGCTTCAATCCCAGTTAAGCCATTTACTACCCATATGACCTATTCAAGTTACTCAGAATCTGCAGGCCATTGTCTCCTCTTTAAAATAGGGATAATGCCTATTTTATGTAGCTCTAAAGACTTAATAAGAAGTTGTACATATAATGCTTAGCACAGCTCCTGACATAAAGTTAGCTTTCAATAAATATTAATTCTCTTCTGGCCCATCATTCTCCAGAAGTTGAATTATATGCACACATTATAGGCAAAGTAATTAATAGCTGGTGCTGGTAACATCTTAAAATGTTAGTTACAGGAACATCTTATAGTCTACAAGTGCCAAAGAATAACAACAACATCTTAAAGGTAAATGTGCTCAAATAACTTATGACAGCAATCTTACTACAAGGCAATAAATTATGATAGTAGTGATTTCCCTATGAAATTGGAAACCTTTTCATAAAAGAACAGTTCTTTTATCTTTAACTTCATAAATCATAGTATATGACTCTCAACTTGAAAATAAAGACATTCTTTGGTAGGTGTTGAAATGTATAATGTTGTTACTTGTACCACTAGAAGGAATGTCGCTTAAAAGGAATCTGACTGCATATTTTTTTCAGTGGAACTAGTTTTGTCAACATAAAAGAGAATTATGAAAATTGTATTGTAAAATCTCCTCTGATATTCAGTTCTTGAGAAACTGCTTAACTTTAACCGATGTTTGTGATGTCACTGGTGTTTTATTGTCTTTATGTTCATTTATTTATGTTCAAATAAATGAACAGCCCACATGCTGCTTTTGTTTATGCCATTATTTTAAGTAACTGGATCCCATAGGTGCTACTGGTTCCAGTAACTCTTCTCCTGAGAATGAAATGTGCCAATGAATGCCGCAAATTCAAATGACTCTTTACTCTGGATGAGCCCTTGACAGACTGCGAGTAATAATGATCATCAAGAGGGATTTCTGAGCAGAAATTTAGGAAAATACACTTAACCTGAATAGTTTTTTTATTTATGATTTTTTCTATTTTTAGTTTTTTGGAGACTTTGAATATTCTACTTGCCTTAAAATATATTCATGATATCTTCTTATTTGGTAGTATTATATTTTATATATTAGAAGATTTTTGCCCCTATAGTGTGTATTTATGGAACTATTATTATGAAAATATGCTTCTCAGAACACTATAACAGAGTATGCTACTCATGTACAACTGATACTGTAAAATTTAACTTTAAAAAAAACCTCCTAAAGCCATGGCATTTAATCTGCCATTTATACCACCTTTTTCTGTATATAATTTTTTTCAGTTAGATTTGAATTCTTGTTTTATTGTTTGGACATTCCTTGTCATATTTCAAATTCAATTTAATATTATTTCCATAAAAGAAAAAGTATTTTCTGAATATACAAAAAAGTTGTTATGGTAGCCATAGAAGTGCTTCCCTTAAATCACCTTTAAGAGATTTGAGAGAAGCCTTGGAATGACAGCCAGCTACTGACCTTTTAGGTCCTGTGCTGCATTGCACTGATTTCATGCTTCCCTGAGGCTGCTCCCAGCCAATAACTGAGCTAGACCAGGAAACTGATGTGGGTCCACCCTTGTCCAATATGGCATCTTTCTAACGGGCAACTTTTACTTAGGGAGCTTGTTCAAACTTTATTTTACAGGTATAGCATAGTCTAAGGTTGTTTTTACCTAATTCTCTCTCTAATTTTACATCTTTCGGACATGAATTATGGTCTAAATTCTTTCCCTGCCTAATCATGATTCCATTCTTTTATTCTTTACAAGTGTTTTTCTTAATAAATTTCTTGTATATTAGTATATATTTTTTAAAAGGACCTGAACAGATACAGAGGGACCAAAAGTGGTGTGAAAAAACTCACCGTAAGACAATGTTTTAGGAATGGTGAAGGAGGCCAATCTTGAGTAGAAAGGGAGAAGGAACCAATAATCTCCAATACAAGGTGGTAGCCCAATTGCTGAAGATTTACCAGTGGTGAAGTTAGAAAATATTCCAAGAGAGGGGAAAACCTTGCTGTATGATGACTCAGGCATTTGAAAGATATGGAGGGGAACAATGCTTACAAGGACAATTGGGTTGGCTTATTATTTATTACATGTTATTGCCATCCTAAAGAGAGATGATGAAAAACTAAGGGCTATTAAGAATATTTAAAGGCTAAAAAGAAATCATGAAGAAGTCACATTTATAATAGCTACCAATAACATACAAATTTAGGAATAAATTTAATTAAGGGGGTGAAAATCCTGGAAACTGAAAACTATAAAAATGTATGAAACAAATTAATAAGACACAAATAAATGGAAAGATATAGCCCATGTTCATGAATTGGAAGAATTAATATTTTAAAATTATTCAAACTACCCAAAGAGATCTACAGATTTCATTCAATCCCTATAAAAATTCCAATAACATTTTTCACAGAAATAGAAAAAAATCCTAAAATTTACATAGAACCACAAAATATTCTAAGTAGCCAAAGCAATATTAAATAGGGAAAGCAATATTGAGGAAAAACAACAGAACTAGAGCTACTACTATACTACCTAACTTCAGAATATAGTGCAAAACTATAGTAAACAAAACAATAGGATACTAGCATAGATACAGACCCATAGACCAGTGGAACAAAATAGAGAATCAAATAAATCTACACATCTATGGTCAATTAGTTTTTGACAAATGTGTCAAGAACACATAATAAGGAAGGACAGTCTTTTCAATAAATGGTGCTTGGGACAACTAGATGCCCGCACAAAAAAGAATGAAATTAGACTCTTATCTCACACCACATAAATATACACTCAAAATGGATTTTAAAGAGTTAAGTATAAAACCCCAAACTGTAAAACTGCCAGAATAAAACATAGGGAAAAAGTTCCATAACATTGGCCTTGGCAATGATTTTTCAGCTATAACCACCAAAGTACAGGCAATAAAAGTGAAAATAGACAAATGGGATCACATGTAATGAAAACAGCAAAGGATACAAGCAACAGAATGAAGAGACAACCTATGGAATGGGAGAAAATATTTGCCAACCACACTTATGATAACAGGTTAATATACAATACATATAAGAAACTCAAACAACTCATTACTAAGAAAACAAGTGGCCCAATTTGAAAAAATGAACAAAGGATTTGAATAGACATTTTTTAAAAGAAGATATACAAATAGCCAATTAGTATATGAAAAAAATGCTCAACATCACTAACCATCAGCAAAATGAAAATTAAAATCCTAATGAGATATCACTTTACACCTGTTAGAATGGCTATTATGAAAAAAGATGAAAGACTTGCAAGTATTGAGGTGATGTGGAAAAAAAAGGAATTCTTGTATATTGTTGATGATAATGTAAATTAGTATAGCCATTATGGAAGACAGTATGGAGGTTCCTCAAAAAATAGGTATAGAACTGTCATACGATCTAGGAATCCAAATTATGGCTATATATCCAAAAGACATTAAATCAGTATCTCAAAGAGATATCCACACTTTCTTGCAGTATTATTTATAATAGTCAAAATACAGAATCAACCTAAGCATCCATCAATAGATAGATGGATAAAGAAAATTTGGTATATTGTTGGGATATTATTCAGCCTTAAAAACGGTATATTATTCAGCCTTAAAAATGAAAGAAATCCTGTTATTCGAGACCACATAGATGAACCTGGAAGGCATTATATTACATGAAATAAACTAGGCACAGAATTATGTCTTATTTATATGCAGAATCTAAAAAAAAAATTGAACTCATAGAAGTAGAGAGTGGAATGGTGGTTACCAGGAGCTCAGAGGTAGGTCAATTGGAGAGACGTTAGTTAAATAATACACAATTTTAATTAGGAGAAATAAATTAAAGAGATCTATTGAACAACATGATAACTATAGTTAGTAACAATGTACTGTATTCTTGGAAACTGCTCAGAGATTAGATTTTAATTGTTCTCATCACAAAAACAGTGATATATATGGGAGGTGATGCATATGTTTAGTTCAATTTAGCCATTCTACAATGTATAGAATACATACAATGTATGTATCTTTCAAAACATGGTATAAACAATAATTACATACAGCTTATATTTGCCAATTTAAAACAAACAAAAAGTAAAGTCTATGTGTAAGAGCCAGAGAACATGTTTGGGAACTAACAAAAAGGCTTTTTTTCTACTGCAGATAAAAAGCTGAGAAGCAGCCACAAGATTGATAATGTTGCAAAATCCCAGCAATATTTAAATGCTCAAGGCAAGTTTGTTATACTAAAACTAGAGCCCTTGTTGGAAAAATCTGGGATCCTAAAAAATAGGACAGACGTCTCTGAGGATTTTTGTTCTGTTGACTTCCTTCAGCCCTCAGAGTTTGTATAAGTAACCCACTTTTCCTTATTAAGAGATAGCATTTTACTGCTCAAGAATACACTGCTGAGAACTCATCCCTTCCACCCCAAGACAAAAAATATCCCTTAAGGAGCTGCCCCGCTCCTGACTATTAGACCAATAGCTAGTATTAAATCCTAGCACCAGCCATCTGGAGACATGCTGGGACTTATAAGAAAACAAAAAAATATCAAGGCATATACAATAATTATTTAGCATGTATCAGTTGGAACCAGAAAAATACTCCTGGAATTAATATTTTGAGGGTGCTTGATCAGAACATAAAATTGGATAAGCACGAATTCAATGAATTATGGGCACTTTTTTGGGACATAGGATTTAACCACCCATCAAGAATTGTAGCAATTGGGAACAAACTTACTCTTTGGATGAGGGTAATGGCTTATTCAGAGTGAAGTGAGAATGGCTGAGTCACCCTGGTACTTGGTAGACTGAAGTCACACCAAAAAGAAATAAAATAAAGGCTGGAATAGATGGTTTGCCATTCACCAAGCCCTTCAGGAATCTGCTGCTGAGATGGCCTTATGTAGTATGAGAAAATTCAGTGGTGTCTCTTTTTTGCAGGCCACAGCTGACACAGTAGGCTAGGCTTACTCAGTATTGGACTTGTTAACATCCTTGCGGATTGTTAGATCACAGAGTATGGAAGCTAGGTGGCAGTGCTTAATCACAATGAGCTAGGGAATCACAAATACTTTGAGCATCAGCAAGGTCAGAAAAACAGTCAAGGGGCCTTCAACAGCAATGAGTTGTGGAGATGGTTAGCAGACTAGGACAAAACAGACAGGCAGTCAGCAATGGTGCCAAGTAACTTCTGTGACCTGAAGAAAAGAATGGAGGAACAGGAACCTGAAGGTGGTCCTCCAAATGAAAGGTCACAATATCTTGCTCAGTTTAGTTCCAGACCCCATGGACAGAGGGCTCTGCAACATTGTAATATATATAAACTGTAATTATTCCCTGGCCCTCACTGAAAGGATAGCTCTTTATTCAGGTGATTTTTCAATGGGGAAAGCGAAATACACAGACATTTCAAAAACTGACAGATATAGAATCTGAATTGATGCTTATACATGGAGATCCAAAGGATCATCATGGCCCTTTGCTAGAGTGGGAGCTGACAGGGCCAGATAATAAACAGATCCTGCCTAAAGTCCAGGCAGGCTTATGTGCCTTTAGTAGGTATGTGGGACCCACTCAGTGGACATTCCCCTAATCTCTGAGTGTATGATTGGAATTGATATGCTTGGAAGTTGGAGTAACTCCACCTTGATCACTTGTCCTCTGAGGTAGGAGCTGTCAAAGTGCAGCAGGACTGAAAGAAGTGTCTGAAACTTCTCCTTTCTCATGTATGCTAAGATAGTAAATAAAAAACACCTAGCACCCAGATCTTGGTTTGTAATATCATTCTCCAGTTAAAGGAACTAGGGCTCCTTGGAGACATGGCTGATTCTAGAAAGAGCTTTTGATTGCCAAAGCTGGAAAATTTAAGTAGTACTGGATTATAATCAAAATTATAAAATAAATATTTGAATTCATGTTTATATAAAGAAATGATTGGATAAATACATGATGGAGTCATAGAATTCCAAATAATTTATGAAGATTCTTCACCTTCAAGGAGATGCAGCATAACTTCCTACTCCTTAAGTGTAGGGTGCAGATATTGATTTTTCTCCAGTTTCAGTATAGTGTGGAAGAGGTTGGGATTAACTTTATTGTGGGAAATTTAATAAACATTATCTCAGCCAGGTGATTAATGTTAACATCAATAGTGATAAATTATGTCGACAGTATCTACTTTTGATATGATGTGCTGAAAATGACACTTCTGTGGTGTTTGTCTCCAACACTCAAAATCCCAGTCTAATCATGAAAACAGCATCACATGTACCAAACTAATGAATATTCTACAAAATGCCTAACCAGTACTCAAAAAACGGTGAAGGTCATTAAAAACAAAAGTCTGAGAAAGTGTCACAGGAAACAGAAGCCTAAGTAGACATCATGACTAAATACAGTATGCTCTCCTTGAACAGAAAAAGGACGCTAGGTTAAACTTAAAGAAACATGAATCAAGTGTGAACTTGAGTTAATAATAATGTGTCAATAGTAGTTCATTAAAGTTTTTAAAAATAAGATATCATGAATAGGTCAAACTATGTGTGAATTTTATGGGAAGTCCCTGTACAACCTTTGTAACTTTTCTATAAATATAAATCTATCCTAAAATGTTAAAAGTTCATTATACATCAGAAGAAAACAAAATAATGTCATATTCATGGGCATGGCTGTGAAATAGTGGATATTATTTTCACCGTTAAAGATTTAAGCTTTGCAGGGGTCGTAGGACTTAATATGTCTCTATTTATTATAATTAATTGCGCTGGCCCCTGCAGAAATGATAGATCCTGGAGAATGACTGTGAACGACCACAAATTCAAAAACATGTTACTCCTATTAAAGCTGCTGTGCCAGGTGGGGTTTTTTGTGAGAGCATATTATTATTATTATTATTTATTTATTTATTTATTTTTTTGAGACAGAGTTTCGCTCTTGTTACCCAGGCTGGAGTGCAATGGTGCCATCTCGGCTCACCGCAACGTCTGCGTCCTGTGTTCAGGCAATTCTCCTGCCTCAGCCTCCTGAGTAGCTGGGATTACAGGCACGCGCCACCGTGCCCAGCTAATTTTTTGTATTTCTAATAGAGACGGGGTTTCACCATGTTGACCAGAATAGTCTCGATCTCTTGACCTCGTGATCCACCCGTCATGGCCTCCCAAAGTGCTGGGATTACAGGCTTGAGCCACCGCGCCCGGCCATGAGAGCATATTATTATGGCAGCCAATAAGTTGTGTTCATCTATTGATTTGGCGAATGTGTTCTTTTCTATTCCAACCAGAAAGGAGGATTGGAAACAGATTCATGTTCACGTGGAATAGACAACAATATTTACAGTTTTGTTAAAATATTATATTAGCATCCTGCTTTCTATAGTAAAATCATGTAATGATACATGGACCAACTGGGAATCCGACAGAATATCACATTAATTCATTTCACTGATGATATACTAATTGGACAGTACAAATGAGAAGTGGCTAAAAGAGTGGTGATTTTGGTAAGGTACATGTTTTCCAATATCTGTGGAGGGTAAACCTATGATTCAGGAACCTTACTAGACATTTTAGGGATCCAGTGAGCATGTATAAGAATAACCCCTTCAAAGAAAAAAGCAAGTTGCTGCATCTATATTCTCTACAATTAAAAGGAAGAATCACATTTGGTAAGCATCACTGTGTTTTGGAGGCAACACATTTTACACTTAAGAATTCAGTTCTGGGCTGGGCTCGGTGGCTCATGCCTATAATCCCAGTACTTTGGGAGGCCAAGCTGAACAGGTCACCTGATGCTCCCTACCACCAAAACTCTACAAGTTGAGAAGTCCTGATTCCCAAGGGAATACACAAGAATACAGGAGACAGAGCAAAAGAATCACTGAATAATATAAGTTAGGCTACTTTAGACTCTTTGTATCCAGGAAAATGGAGTCATCATGCTGGTAAGGGTAATTGACCCTGATCAAGGGGAGGAAGTAGAACTGTTCTCAAACAATGGGGTGGGGGGAAAGAATACATAGGGAAGCCAGATGATCCACTTTGGCACCTCTAGATACTCCCTTACCTAATTTAACAGTGAATGGACACATTCATTAACCTGGGCTGAGAAAGGCATAATGTTCACAGGTTTAGACCCCACAGGAATGAAGGGTGGGGCCAAGAAACCAAATAATCCAACCAGACAAGCTGAAGTGATAGCACAGAGTGAAGGGAAATTAGAATGGCTGGTGGATAACGGAAAGGATGAATATTGACTGCATTCCCAAGACCAACTTAAAGTGACAAAGGTTATAGTTTATCTTTCTAACATCTCTGTTCTACGTTTTCTCTAAGGAATAAAGGCCAATGGGCCAATGGAGAAAAGGCCTTCTGAACCTAAAAGGAAAAGTAGGTCTCTATAGTATCACCTCTCAGATCTCCTTCAAGAAAATTCACTGCTGCAGGCATAGTTGACTGACAGCCCAGCTCTCAATTCTTTTATCCCTCATTGTGCTAACACAGGCCACATATATTCTGGGCTGCAGCCAGCCAGTTACAAAGCCTGGCAGTTTATTAGTGCTTCTTCTTGCCCTGTGAGAAATTTTTCTAACGGGAAACTTGTGCTCTGGGATTCCTCAGCAGGCCAAGACTTTCTTAGAACTTTGCTGCAATTTAAGGGCCTTTCTACCCAATTGTGTCTTTCCTCTCTCTCCTTTTACAAAGAGAGACCTGAACTGTTGTCTGAAGGGTTTTCTCACCTATTCCTGTTCCCTTGACTTTTATCTTTCATAAGGAGTCATCCCAAAAAAATTTCCTGTACATCAAATCCTATATTTGCCTTTGTTCCTGGGAGGACACAAACTGACACAGAGGTCATCAGGCCCTCCTACGTGTGACTTCTTTTTTTTTCTAATTTTGCATTTACCATGGGATATTAAAATGGGTTTGTTTACATATCTATTTCCCTAGTAGACTACAAACTCTTAGACTCTCTGGTAAAATGAAAATGTACTTAACACACAGTCAAATATATAGTAGATGAGTAATACATGTATGTTTGCTGAATAGAAATTGTATTAAATTCATGGGCTCTTAACATGGCATACATACATCAAATTTAGCATTACTTTAGTGTTTTGTGATTATTGACAAAACTCTCTCCAGTGACCACTAATAAGCTGTAAGCCATTTAGGGTAAGGATTTTCTCATTCCTCTTTGTGTTCCTGACACATAGTAATGGCTAAATAAGTGGTAAAAATGTTAATTTTTATTTCAAATATTAATGGTTCATATAAAATAATAGAAGATATATAGCATTAACTAATGACAAGCAGTCATTACTTCATAAATCAGTTTAGGAGTAGGCCAGATATCATAAGGGTATGCCAAATACCCAAAGAAATAGTTAAGACTCACTTACATAGTATCTACTGACAGATTAGGAAAAATTCACAACAAAATTAAAAGCAAGCATCTCTAACTCATTGAATTAAGAATGAAAGTGCAATGGTGGTTCTTAATATGTGGCCTCGCTGAATGCCCTAGAGGGTGGCTTTACATAAAGAAAATCATTTCTTTATTGATTCAGTTCATTCATCATATCCATATTGAGCATTTCCTAAATGTCAACCACTGAATTGGATACCACATTTTCTTATATTAGAATATAACTGTTTATAACCGACCATGTTTAAACATTTATTTGTTTGTTGATATGTCTTAATTTGTTATATATTATTTAATGATATTGATACTTCTCAATAATTATTTATTAACACCTATTGATACTTAATAAGATATAATCTCATATTAACAACATGTTAAATCCATAACATTTTACATATTAATCATTCTCTGTTGCTCTTTCTTCTTCTCCATTGTTTTATTTTTTCACACTGAAAAGTAAAAGCAAAGAAAAAAGAAACAATAAAACAAAGGAAGAAAGAGGAAAATTATATCTCCCTTATATAAAATAATAAAATACTTTGATTTTTTCCAATACTCTCACAATTA